AAAAAATTTTTTATTTGACTTGAAACTGAACATTCATTCTGAAGTACAAAACTCTTTTAAGAGGCGAATTTAGAGGAAGAATGTATAAAAGAGAGAAAGAGTGGGAGAGAAAGAGAGGGAGAGAGAGAGAGAGAGAGAGAATAAGTTGATGTAAGAAGCAAAACAGAAATTAGAATGGGAGGGGAGTCGTAGTCGCTATTTTTTGTAAAAAAAAACATTAAAAGGAACGAATTAACGGAATGTGTAGGTTGCCTGCATTTTTTTATTTTTGTTAGAACTTATTGACTGTTGTGTTTGTTTCATACTTGTGCTAAAAGGACAGGAATGATAGAGTTTTCTTTTTTTCTTAAAAATTTATTTATTTGCGTTGTAAATTTGTTGTTTCTTTTTCTTTTCTTTTAGACCAGTGATCGATGATTTTGTTGTAAGTTCTTTTTATTTTTTTTTTTTTTTTTACTTTGACGAATGTACGCAGTACATTTGATTAAGGACCCATTTAATTCGCCCAGTGTACACAGCGGTGTAATTTAGGATTAGCGTGTTGTACAAAAAATATTTCATATCGAAATTCTCGCGTATATGTCGTGTGTACATACATATATATATATATATAATATATACATATTATATATTATATATATATATTAAATACTTTAATTAATTATCATATTACTTATTGGGAGTTCCTCGTTGTAATAATGAGTTAAAATTTACCTGGCTCTTGTACATTTCGCTGACTTTAAACTCACCACTTGATACTCTGTCTGAAGGGAATACACACAACGAATTACCATTTCTCCCGATCGAAGGGGAAAATTTCTAACTGAGAAGAGTTTAAACTTTGCCGAAAGCTGCGAAGCCCGTAAATATTTCGTATTTTTCGCTGATCTCTCTTTTCCTGTATGCAACATCAATTACGAACAGCATCGTGAAAGCAATTATCGAGTCGAATGTTTAACACGATACCAGGAGGAGGAGAAGCATTAGGTAAAGCGAAAAGTAATGTTTTTTTTTTTTGGTGTATCATTTTGAAACCAATTGTCGTGCAACTGTGCCGATTAAGTACGTTAAATGTTGGTAAAACAAAATATTATTTTGAATAATACTCTGTTCATACTAGTCTTTTCATTTCATTTCTTTTTTTTTTTTTTTTTATTTTTACAGATAGTAAAAAATGTCAAAACCAAGGATCGAAGAGGTGCAGAGTATTTTTGTTTCATAAAGGATTGAAGTCCAAAGGAGCTACCAAAAAATGTTAATGAATCTTACGACGAAATCTTGAATATCCGTAAGTGCCAACGATGGTTCAAAAGCAGTTTAAAAAACGGCGACCAAAATCTTAATTTCTCGCTGCATGCGGTCTTGGTTTATTCACCAGAACAAACTTTTTTTTTTTTTTTTTAGTAATTCCGCCTTTAACCTTTCCAATTGGGCACAGTAGATCTGTGCTGATCTGACCAGGAGACTGACCAAGATTTAATAATTTATAACACTATAATCACACTCGAAATAGACACATAAAAGAACCTTTTTTAATGTCAAAGATGGTTCAGGTATTAAAACCTGTGTTTTGGTGTTTTTGACAAAGCCATTGTTTTTTTTTTTTTTTTTTTTTTTTTTTTATGTGGATTGCTGTAAAGGATTTTTCGTCTCCGGTAACAATTCTTTTCACGGATCGGATCAGCAGCGAAGAACAAATGGTCACTCGCTGTTCTAAAACGGACGGCGATAGATCGTGCGGAACACAAACTCCCTGCCCGTTTTATGCCTTTTCAAATGATATTTTACAGTCAATCAGGGACATATCCTGCGACAATTCCTTAATTGTTTTACGCGGATCTGATTCCATCAATGATCTCATCAACGCGTCGTCATCGATTGTTTGTGGTCTTCCCGATTTCGGCTTATTCTTAAGATCTTGGTCGTCGAAATCGTTTGAACCACCATTGGCATTACTCAAGACAGACTTACTCAAGATTTCGACGTAAGTTTCATTAACATTTTTTTCTTTTTGTAGCTTCGTCGAGCTTTAATCCTCAATCAAACAAAATTACAAAATACCCTTCGATCTTTGGCCTTCACATTTTTTACTGTAAAAATAAAAAAAATGAAATGAAAACAGTACCAGTGGCTTCAAAGTAACACCAACAGGTAACGTACTTAATCGGCGCAGTTGCACGACAATTGGTTTCAAAATGACACACAAAAAACATGACATTACTTTTCGCTTTACCTAATATTTTAATTAAATCCCATTAATATTCAGGGAGATTTAAATGTTTCGCTGAATATTGAAACTGTTGTAATTTTGCAAAAAAGAAGTGGTACAACGATAAACCTGGTCTCATTTTAAAGCTCGAAGCCTGTACTATCAAAATGCATCGTTCATCTTATTTATTTTAGCAGATGGCGAAGTGAAAACACTCCTGTTCTCGAAGATACTTATAAATTGCCATATCATGTAAAAACATTGGAAACTTTCTTCGTGGCTGAGTCTACAACGGATTTAAGGATTGAAGTTTCTCTTTTACGACTCGTCGAAACTTCCTGTAAGTTTAGTGAACTTTCAACATTTATTCGATTAGTCGAAAACGAACATATAACAATTTCTTGAATTTTCGTCATCTAATATTCGAAGCTCGACAAAGCGACGAAAAATGAATCGTGGATCAAGTTTTCAGCGGTTGTTATAAAGGGAGTGATTCAGTTTTCAAAACCGTAGAAAGTTTTCCAATGTTTTTACACACTGTGACAATTTGTAACATTTTCGAGAAGAGAAATGTGTATCACAGCGATTTCTTCACCCACTGTGATACACATTTTAGAATAAAATGATATAGATTGTAGAATAAAACAAAGCTTTAAACTTTGAAATGAGCAAGTTTATTATTATATATATATATATATTTTTTTTTAGGAGATTATGACATTTTCAACGTTCAATGTCCGAATATTAACGGGATATGTTTGGCTTGGTGTTTAAAGAATTGAAGAAAACTTTTCGAGGTACTGGATTTTAATCGCTCGCACAGACAAAGGAAAAAAGTATTTTCTAAAAGCGTAAAAGTGAAAAATTATGTACAATTTGTGATTTCGATAACAACGTTTTGGTGAAATGAGGAGATAAATTTAATCTGTATAGTGCCTCGAAGAGTTAACAAGAGCGAGTTTTTAAATAACCTTTATGTTCCAAACACGAAGAGAAATTTATGTCAATTTCTTATCTGTTTCGTTCCACATGTGTAAAACATCGAGGCTTTTAAGCGAACGACAAAGCCACGTTATATGTATATACGTGCTAACTTGCTTAAGACATGAAATTTTTAAACACGATATCAAAGATTTAGAGAGATCTGTGACTTAGGGAATATAGTATATTAAGGCAAACGAAATACAGAGAGAGGAGTGAGTTTTACAGAATTCCCGGTGCGTTCTATGGATCTTATTAGCGATAGAGGAGGGAGGGAGGTGAAGAGAAAAGAAAAGAAGTATAAAACTACAGTATGTCAAGCTCTTCAACTATTTCTTGTTTAACTTTGCGTTTATTTGGCTGCAGCTTTTACCGACGAAAACGAAAAGAAGAGGTGAAAAAGATAAGGAAAACGGAACGGAAAAGTACTTGTTATTCGATTATTGAACAAAGAATTAAAACGAGCGATATTTTTGGCATTTGGTATTCCTTTATACTTTAGCCGCATATTTTGTAATAAACATGTATACTAGTGTAAGTTACTTGCGTTAATCGGGTGATGCGAACGCGAGATAAAGGTGTGTACAGCTTTGCGTTTATCACTCGGTTAAGCGACACTGTGAAACTTGTACATATTTTTGTAAGATAAATTTAAGTATGGACGTCCCCTTTGTGACTCTCGAGAGAAAAGATGAGAACACCCATTAAGAGCCGAATGGAAATATAGATAGATACAAGAACGGCGATTGAAAGGTAACAGGAAACAAAAGTGCGGTAAATACAATTGCTTTTTGCGGTTATACACATACACCATGCGTTCAGCTTTGTAATGTATTTTATTCGTTGTATAATTCTCTCTGGTTGCTCTTATCGTATTTGTAAAACGGACATTCTGATAAAAGTGACAAAGGCGTTGTTACATATAACAGGTGTAAGTAAGACGTGTTAGAGAGATGAGAAGGCAGAAAACCTAGCAAAAAAAAAACTCGTTAGTACAATAGTTTCAATGTTGTAAATAAAACAGATCAATAGCTATTATTATTATTATTATTATTATTATTATTATTATTATTATTATTATTATTATTATTATTATTATTATTATAATTATTAATTATTATTATTATATTATATGTAAATATATATATATATACACACATATATATACATATATATAATTATATGTAAGTATATAATTATATATATATAAAAGAAAAACGTTCGTCTTTATAACAGTACCAGAACACATGATTCTTTTTTTTTTATTTGCAATTCACTGTTAACATGTATGTGCCTAGTTATTAGCCACGTTGCATTATATTCTACATTGTATGATAATTTAATTCGTATTATCGATTATTGAATGTAACAAGTTCTTCGATATCAAACTCTATTATGAATATAATATTATGGCGTAACGTGTAAAGAGCTCATATTTAGGCATACATGAAATTTAATAAATCGGAATACATTTTACGAATTAACAAGCCCTGACGTTCACTCTTTTCCCTTGTCTCTCTCTCGTGCACCGTACGTAACAATTTGATTTGTCTGGTGTGGCACATTATCTTACAATGAAAACAAGCTTTATTTTTACAACAAATCAACCGTTATCAATCATAAATAACCTGCTCGAAGAGCAAACAACTTATTTTCATTCTTTTATCTTCTTATCTGTTCTTTTCTTCTCTTTTTTCCTCCTTTTTCAAAGAAACGCTCAAAATCCCGCCATGGTTGTTCACGCGTTTCGATTGATCGAGTTTCGTGTACGTCACCACTGATAATCACCAGCAATTGGCCGAGACTGGCGGCAGGCGTCTGCTATGACAGTCGAGCCAGCGGCGTCCGACGCGACGAACAGCAGACGGCACGATGTCTTCATCCTCGCAGGCTTGGCTGGACGAAACAGCTGTAGAGAATTTTCGCGAATATTTACGGATACCCTCCGTCCAACCGGACATCAATTACGGTAAGTAACCTCACATATTCGATTTTCTAATCGTTCTTTCCGGTTTGGTCATTGCAACTGTGGAAAGAATGCAAATATTCTCTCTCTCGGTTTTCGCGAGTCGTACGTTCGAGCATACGTCCGAGAGATCGTATAAAAATCGTGCACGCATATTGGTGTACCGGAACGGGGTCGGTCATTTCCTCGTTAAGTAAATTGTCCGTTTCTCGCGCGGAGCGTAGAGCCTCGAGCCACATTAATCCTGAACGCAAATTCACGATGCTCACGCGTTTCCGCATGGGGACATGAGGAAATCTCAGTACCAACTTCGAAGCGTCGGAGACGCTATCCAGCCATTGCATGCCCCACCCTCTGTCTGGAATGTTATTTCTATTTTTGTATTCTTTTTTTTTCTCTCACTCTCCTCTAATTGACAACGTATGTTAGGTATTGTTTGCAAGATCGCCAACGAACTTTTCGAGGCCTCGCTTTTCGGGAAATTCAGTGGCTTAGGTACGATCGCGACCTAAATTACACGTAATTCCTCTTAATCCTGGTGTTGCCTCATTCAGTTTTTTTGGTATCTGTTCAATTTACCGATGATAACGAATTGTACTGCAAATACTGGATTTCGTGATTTATTGGAGCATTAAAATTGGAGTAATTAGCGATCGGTTAGTTTTTGTAAATCTCCTCGCAAGGCATGTTAATTGTCGCAAGTGATAAGATAATTTCTCTAGTTACAAACAAGGTAAGATATCGGGTATTAAGAAATTCTGAACACTCGTGACCTTGTTGATACTTTGGTTAATTCAAATTTAAATAGCTGAACGCCAGTTTTATACTTTCGTATCAAGTTACAAACATACATTATGATATATAATACATATTAACTGATATGTACTAATTCAAACATTTTACTTTACAGATGATTGTGTTGCATTCCTCCGAAAACAGGCAGAGTCTCTGGAGCTGCCTCTTAAAATATTTTCTATAGAAGCTAATAAACCAATTGTGGTCATTACATGGCTAGGAACAGAGCCAAAAGAGCCATCTATTTTATTAAATAGCCACATGGATGTTGTACCTGTTTTTGAAGTATGTATGCTAACATTAATGTCTCATCTTATGATAATATTACCTTCTCAGATAGAACTTTGCTATTTAATTTGATCAAACTTTTTTTGTTCTTTGATATGAATATATACATAAGCATTAGAGTACCAAGCTAATAAAATAATAGATATATATTTATAAACAGACCTAACCTCTGACCTCTGGGAAACAAATGTTGATATAATGAAATTATATTTTAGTATTGATAGACCTGAGAAATTAAAAGCAGGCTTGAGCATGTTTCATTTGGAATAAAATAGTAAATAGTGGTTTTAAGTAATTATTTGAATTATTTGAATTAATTGATTGTTATTTTAGAAACTGCCCAAAAATTAACTTTATTTATCATTTTATTATTTAGTATGAAATTCAAGTAAATTATTATAAAAAATTTCTTATTTGAATTAATTTGGTCATTCTAATAAGATGATAAATATAAGATGATAATAAGATGATAATAATTTGAAGTAAAAGATTATCTGTTGATAATATTGAAATAACAGATTGTTATTTAAAATACAAAAGAACCTTGTTTGCAATATCTGAACATATCAAAAGACAATAAGAGATAAGAATAACAAAACTTGGTCAATTGTTATTTCATATATTTGAGGTTTAACATTAACTGATTAATGATTAAAGGAGGTTCAGATAAATAAAGTTTTACTATAACTAAATAAGATGTATTATATAATATATTATTCAACTCCTCATTTTTTTAAATATATTATTTAAATAATGCTCAAGCCTGAAAGCAAGAAAGAATGATTGAATGTAATTAACGAATAAAACTTTTCAGGATAAATGGACTTATCCGCCATTTAGTGCCCATTTAGATGCGGAAGGAAACATTTATGCTCGTGGCAGTCAGGACATGAAATGTGTTGGAATTCAATATCTGGAAGCAATTCGCCGTTTAAAACTTGCTAAACAACACTTTAAAAGAACAATTCATATCTCTTTTGTACCTGATGAAGAAATAGGAGGATTTCTTGGCATGAAAGACTTTGTACCTACTAAAAACTTTGAAAGTTTAAATATTGGTTTTGCTCTGGATGAAGGTGTAGCTTCGCCCGAGGAATTTTTTTACATGTTCTACGGTGAAAGAGCAATTTGGCATATTGAAGTAGAGTGCCAAGGCACTCCTGGCCATGGATCGCTTTTGCATGATAGTACGGCTGGTGAAAAGATAAGAGTCATAATTGATCGTTTCATGGACTTTAGAGCTAAGGAGAAAGAAAAATTGAAAGATTCGGAAAAGCAGCTTGGCGATGTTACAACCATAAACTTAACGCAACTAAAGGTTCGCAATCTGTTAGAGTTTATCACTTAGCTAATATTTTATCGCATATTACATTAGAATGCCCTTATTTTATATCTTGCTAATATCTTATTACTTGATTAAAGAAATGTTGTGTTTTAAATATTACATGTCTGTGCATTTAGGAAAATATTACACAGTGAGTATTTTGACAATTCAGTAAATATTTTTTGAATGATTCTCGTGCTTAAAATAAATGAATAAAAATTAAATTAATTTTAAAATTAATTAACGATCGATTGACGATAAAATTTTATATTTCATGTTTTGCCAATAACTCAAAAACAATTTTTTTCAGGGTGGCGTACAAACAAACGTAGTGCCTACTTCGTTGTCGGCAATATTCGATATTCGAATTGATCCTTCTATTGATCATACCGAGTTTGAAAATATGATCAAGAAATGGTGCGAAGAAGCTGGAGCCGATGTTACGTATTCGTTCGAGCAAAAAGATCCTAAAATCGAAAACACAAAATTAGACAATTCCAATCCTTTTTGGCTTGCTTTTAAAAAAGCTTGTGACGATCTTGAAATAAAATTGCAAATAGGTATTTTTCCGGGTGGAACAGATAGTCGATATATAAGACAGGTAAATATCTCTTCTATTAATTTTGTATTGATATAGGTAATTTTTTAAAAATCTACTTCTCATTATAGGCTGGAATTCCTTCCATTGGTTTTTCACCTATGAACAAAACGAAAATTCTTCTTCACGATCATGATGAATATCTAAACAAGGATATATTCTTAAAGGGCATTGAAATATATATGAAAATAATACCAGCAATAGCAAATGCCTAAGGCATTGATATCAAGCCCTTGAAACGACATGCATTTGTTGAAGTTTGTACATTTATTTGAAAAAAGACCAAAGTTATAACTAGAAGTTAAGAAGAATTTTAAGTAAAAGAGTACAAATCAACATAATATTAACGTGGCAAACTAAATAAGAAGTGCAATAATGCATACAGATAAAAATAAGTTAAAAATAGAAAGTTATATAAATTTCAGATATCTATAATTGTTACAAAAATATGTTTATATTGTTATCAAGTTGTTAATAATTAAAAGATTTATAGAAAGCCGTAAAGACATAGAAACGTACAGTTATGAAGGGCTAGTTTAACGTGCAATCAGTCTCGATGATTAAAAAATAATTTGAAACAAGCTGAATAATGAAAAAATAAAAACGAATAACTGAATTAAAGAGTAAAAGTACATCATTGAGACAACGAAACGAGGATCCGATCAAGAGGAATAAAGCACAGAATAGTCAGGACCGATTTAAATCAGGTACTGAGAAGCGTATTTATCAATTCTTTTAGTAAATTACACGAATCAAGCCCAAACTCAATAAAAGACATCAGGTTCTAACTCAAGTGCCAATACTAAAAAGCAAAAAACGATATATATTTAGTTATTTTTTTTTATTTTTTGTATAATCACGTTTGGTAGTTTTATACAATACTCAATTGCTCAAAAAAATTTATATTATATACATATAATGTTTGAACAATCACATATATATATATATATATATATATACACACACACACACATATAAATATTTTATATAAACTACGGGCAGAAACTGTGTCTGTAGTAATTATATTTTTTTTTTACATAATGCAACAAATATATTTATCAGTAAAAATAGATCTAAGAAAACTTCTATTGATCTCAGTGGTGATGCATATATCGGAAGTTGATATTTTTTGCGAGATTATGTGAAAAGCTGAATGTACTGATATATTTTTGCCTCACAACTAATTTGGGACAGTGCGTAAAATTTTGTTTCACAGAATAACAGAGTGCCGTATGTTTTCTACTCGCAAGGTCGATACGTACGCGCGTGTGTTTATTCCCGCCATTATTGCCTGTGGTTCATTCTTAACGGGACTGCCGCCCTCCCCTCCCTGTTAGAACGATGGACTCGTCCAATGTTTTCGATCTTCTGTCACGGAGCGTTTTCGCAATTTCGACACAGATTGTAGCGTATTTCTCATTTAGGCAACGGCAAAAAATAGAAGGATTTTTTTGAGCAACGTGAAAACGTAAAATCTATCGATACACAACGAGAATGAATGATTTTTCACAGATTGTTTGGATTCGGCCATTTTGAAGTGGGGAAGGTAGGGAAGAAGACGTGCAATTGTTGCCATTCATAACGTGGATAGTGTAGCGTGTATAGGTGTGATCGCTGATTTAACGAACGAACGTCGGTAAAAATATCGTCACTTTGGGTGGAGATAGTAATTCGATAAAGAAATAGAAAAGAAAGTTCCCTGGTATGTATCCCTTTATCAGTCATGTGTATATAAGTATATCGTTTAAAATGTCCTCACAATCCGTACTGAACTGCCAATGAAGGGAGGGCGGCAAGGCCACGTGACCGCGGTCGACCAATCGCCAGGACGAGATTTGAAATCGTGCGTGGTCTTTGTTCACAAGCCTCCCGTCAACGTTGCCTCAGTTCCGTAAAGGGGGCCTTGTGTCGGTGTCCGTTTATACATGGTCGCTGCCAAAAATCGCATAATTCTCTTGTAAATATATGTGTGAAAGTGGTGCTTGCCCGCGAGGACGACGTGCTTTAAGGATTGTCAGACACACGGTAGGTCTGATTACGCTTTATTACGGTGCCGTTCACGCGAATCTTGCCGAAATGATTATGAAAAAAATATCCTGTGCTGTTTGCCGGCCCGCCGAGCCGTTCTATCTCCCCGAGTGTCAAGGTAGTACGAGGGGGCAGTCATGATGCTTTCGACATGAATTTTTTTTCCCCTTACCTTTCCCCGTGTTACGGTGTTTATCGTGTATTGCAGTACGCGTACTCTCACGACGATTGATAGTCACGAATTAATCTGTCAGCAATTGGGTGATACTCTTTTTTCTTTCTTTTTTTTTTCTTCTCGTCATTGCGCATTGCCGGTATTTTTAGAGATTGTTTCAGAACGCTATAAATTCTGGATCGCAGCATTCATGCATTTGCCGCGCTCCGTCGATTCGATGGCGTAGGCGGCTGCGACCGTATCACCATGGCAATTATTTATTAACCGTGGCAAACGCCTCGTGCGGAAATAAACAACCGGCTCGTGTGCCGAATCGAGTTGAATGAGTGATTCATCGTGGACGGAACGCAGCTCGACGTGCAACTTTCGGCGGGAAGAGTGCGAACGCATTACCAGGAAACCTCACTGATATAATATGTATTTCCGGTGATGAGAGCCATTGTTTTGCCGCTCAATGCAATTACTCTGTGCAATGCCGTGTTTGCACTTGTAACAAGACCAATCGTCGAATTTTGATCTGGCTGTCCGTTTTCGGAGACGGGGAACAATTTTGTACACGAAAATCGTTTTCGTATCGGTCTTCTCGGATAAGAATTTAATTTCTTAATTCGGCATCGCGTACGCACGTGTAAATTGTTATCGATTTCTAATTGCATACACCGTTTTTATTGATGCTTGCACAATGTTATTTCATGCATGAATTATCGAAAAGGAATTACTACCAAAAAAAAAAAAAAATATATAAAACTTATTTGTATAAGTTATAAAACTTTTTATTTTTTTCTTTAATTACGTTGAGATTTTTTTTTATACTCCACATTGTAATTTTTATAAATATAATTACCAGCAACCGATGCTCAAAATCAACGAAGCTAGCCGAAAGTTTCCCTCATCTTGGCGACGAAGTAATCAATAACACGGCTAGCAATTAAAACTGATTATTCTTGATCGGTATTAGGAGGGTCTGTTTAAGGAATAAGGTATAATGCGGATTCTGAGAGGTAGGGATGCAATGATGCCCCATTGGAACGTACAATGGAGTCATTATGATTTTTGCCTCAATACGGGTAACGGTATAATGTCGGCCGGGTAGGATATTGGCTTTTCGTCGAACAATGATCACAAAAGGAGGATATTTTTCGAAAATATTGCAAATAACGAGTGAGCAGCAGGGAGAGGGGGGACCCCTCTCGAGCACTTTCAAGCCTTACCGCCACGAAAGCTATTGACCGTGGGAACCTTCTGGGAACCCTACCCCTCGCCATATGCCCACCGCAGGAAATAATCCTACAGGCTCGACCGAAATTTACTACCTCGCCGTGCTTCGTATTCACGAATGATTATTATTTGTCACTGACGTTTCTTCGTTCATGCTTTGCTCGATTTTTTTTTTTTTTTTTTTTTTTTTTTTTTTTTTTTTTAGTATTCTTTCTCTTTAATTAAAAAAATGTACTTTTTGACGCGAGTCGATCGTTGACCACTCGTTTTCAAATTTTACGATTTCACGTTCAATCGAGTGTAATTTAATTCACATTATTAAAAAATTTGTTTTTCTTCCTTCGATTCTTTCTATTTTGTTTATCAAAGGAGATCAGGTTGTTTGCATGCTAGGCATGAGCATTTGATTCGCACCATTGTTTAGGAACGAAACCGAGAGAGTGACTTTCGGACGCGTTAGAAAGTTTTGAAAGATGCGGAAAGATAGCTGTGAAAAAGAAGTTTTACGAATTACGCTTTCGTGCTGTGGTTCTCTCGCGATTATGGGCGGGAACTCTCTCGTGACGTGATTTTTCAAAACGATATTACAATTTCCAACAAACGATCGAGTGTCGCCAGGCGAAAGAGTATTTTGTTCATTGAAACGTATTTTCAGGATAACTTTGTGTACTATACTAAGCTATGTATCGTAAACTATTATTGACTGGTATTATAGACTGCCCCTAATTTTCATTCCCTTCCACGTTATTATTTTTATAACTTTTAATACTATTGTTCAATTATGTCTGAGAGTCTTTATTATTAATATATAATATATAAAAGTAATATATATATATATATATATATATAAATTGATTTTTGTTTTTTTTTATAACGTAATAAAATTTAGCGATCAGCGAGACTTCTACGGTTAGTTGTTGGTAAGTTTCGATGTTTGTACCCGAGGGTTGAATCTAATCAAGATGAGACATCGATTTTGCTCTCTGCGCTGGTGTTGCAATACGCAGCAAGTGTGCAGAGAAATTCGCTTTGTCGAATATAGATTGCGTGCCGTACATGTGCGAAATTTTTCAAGAAATTAAATCGGTTCACCCGGTGAAAGCAAAGTGCTTCAAACACAACGGAAAGAGCAGCGACTAGCACGCTTAAAATTCGCGTCGAAAATAATGAAAATCTTTGTAGGGATACACGAAGATCATGACGAGCGAACCTCGTAAGTTAAGAGTAAACGAATTAGTAGGATAAACGATTACGAACCGGATGGGAGATTTTTTCGCGCCAATTTGCCATTGGCACAAGTCCACGTGTACATGATGTTCCCGCTTGACGATTTGTGTGTTTACTATGGGTGTGCGGGTATCCGAAATTACGTAGTCCGACAATTTCGGGTAGCCCTAAGATTTCGGGTAGTCCGACGATTTCGGATCGAGTTGGAAAAAATTCAAGGGAGATAGGATTAGAGTTGGGCATTATTCGAATAAAATTTTACTCGAACACCGTTTCGAATAAATTCTTCGAATAAAATTTTATTCAAGATATTTACTGAAATAATGTAAAGAAAAAGAGTCGGAAGTAGTTTTTTTTTTCCCAATTTTGCTTTTAATATTTAATAAAGCGGAATCTACTTCAACCGACCAACATTTACAAACAAATGATAACGTAGAAATTCTTGTACTACAACATTTTACAGATAATAGAAATGATTACACATCTCTGAACGCATATACCATAATTAAAAATATATTTTTGAAATATAACACTCGTTCGCCATTTTCTGCTCCAGTAGAACGTTTGTTTTCATTTCCAACGACAACAAACTCGCCTAAAGCAAACAGATTAACTAACAAAA